TGAGTTGCTCCAGTTGGGCCAATCACAAGCACTGTCACATGGAGGGAGTCAAGTGATTTTCCATATCAACAGAAACAGCAACCGGTTATTTCTTTGGTCCTAGTGGTGAAAAAGAGTGGGGGGAATGTAGGTATAGGATTACACAAGGAGCAGGAGCTAAAAGAAAACCTGTTGTTTTGTCCCATATGGGCAAAACATAGATTGGCTTTAAGTTCAGATCTTTAAGATCAACTGTACTTGTGTGACGTTTGAAAGATTTTCCTCCTGATATATACTGTATACACACATGATATATTACATCATATAAAAAGGAATGATAATCCACAAAACGTCAACTGAAAAGATATGGCTTAGCTGCAGGTAATGTCCCTTAAGATTTGTCACAGTACATAGTGAAGCAAAAACTTCCCTTAGCATTGGTTTGCACTAAGTCATTCTTTCAGGCCCAGAATCAGGGATCCTGTTGGTTATCTATGTCAATGTGCCCTAATGTACAAATAGCAGAAATGCTACATTTGGTTAACAGTTATCAGTAATGCCACTGGTACTTATAAAAACTTATAATTGTTCTGCTATATTAATTCATAACCAACAGTACAAGAATGGCCTCTAGGCATTCTAGGAATGCATACTATACTGGGTTTTGCATTACATAGAAATTAATATAAAGCTATATCTAATCATCCTTTAAGTAATTGGTTTGCACTCAAAATGTTGATGGCCTTTGTCAAAAGGTAAACCAATCAATGATGTTGCTGCAAGGCCAATGTTACAGCAGACATCATTTTAATTAAAATTTCCCTCAAAAATATAGGCAATAGCAAGTGATTACTGTTGTATTACAAGGTTATTTCAATAATATAGGAAAGCAATTTAAACAAATTTGCTTCAAATAAAGTTTGGCTAGCTCAATTATTCAAGTCACTTCATCACTTGGGTCTAATAAAATGGAAGAAGTTCTATCTGATTATAAAATTACTGGTGCTGGTTTTAAGTAAATTACTTGGATATGTAGTGTCATTTTGGTTGAGTGTGTGCATCTGCGTGTTTGTGTAACATACCACTGTGTCTAGAAATGGTGCTTAGGTTCTATTCCCCCCTAAGAGTTTTCATATCAAGTGCTGTGGTCTTTTTTGTGGTGTTTGCAACAAGCAATTTAGGCCAATTTTCTATTTGGTTTAGCCTTCCTGAAAGGCCACTTTTCACATAAAAAACTGCATCAGAAGAGTGGTCCAGTAAAACAACTTCAGTCATCTGTACAATACAAACTGGCTTATACTTGCTCACCAGGAAAAGTTAAGATGGGAACGTCTGCTGCAGTTGGCTGGTGTCCCAGACATAAAGACTGGTGATGTAGCCATTTGATACTGGCTTCAGTCAGTAAGCAACAGTTATCAGTTTTCTATGAGCACTGGTATGGGGGAATCTGCCAAGACTTGATTCACCAAGGGTCTGCAAACCTGATCTTAGAGGCAAATCACATTGAAATATATGGAGGACAAATCTTGTTTTTAAAATTCCAGCCATTTTTAGGGCTAAAAGGCAAGCTATTTTCAAAAAAGCTTGAAGCTGTATGTGGTGTTAAGGAACAGTACGATTTTCATGGACAGTCTAAGTGACAGCATACACTGGCAGTGCATGCTTGGCTGTGGAATAGATTTTTTAAATTCCAATTAGCTTGGTTTACATATAGCAGCAACACACCAACCTGATTCATTTCAGTTTGAAAAAAAAAGCTTTTTTTTCAGGTAGCTCTAGCAGACGTGCTTTTTCAACAAATGGTAGTAAGCCTGCTTTGCCTGGCAAACAGAAATTTGTCAGTGGCTCAGTGTGGCTGTCCTTTTCCTCACTGATGCAAAACTGTTTTGCAGCTGAACAATTTCTTTCAAGCTCTCAGTAAGAATGAAAAGACTGCAGATGATACATCAATGTAAAAATGGTCAGCAACAGGACAGTTTTAATGGGGCAGAATTGTCTAAAGTTTTAATGACCAAAGCTAGCCCGAAATTTAGTAGAGACAAAAGCCTGGGGCTTTACCACAAGAATTAAAAAACAGCAGATGATATAGCAGAGTAAACTTGGCCAGTTTTATAATGTGAGGTGGTTTAGGTACACACTGTTCTTCACAC